CACACACATCCAGGACTTGAGTCCTCCACACACACATCCAGGACTTGAGTCCTCCACACACACATCCAGGACTTCAGTTCTCCACACACACATCCAGGACTTGAGTCCTCCACACACACATCCAGGACTTGAGTCCTCCACACACACATCCAGGACTTGAGTCCTCCACACACACATCCAGGACTTGGCTCCTCCACTCTTTAACTCTGCAGCTCCATCCTGTCAGCCCAACTTCTTCCACTCTTGAGCTGCCTCCACCCACGGTGTGACGATGACGGAGGCATGGCAGCAGCAGCATGCAGTGGTCCCACCAGCTGTGGTGCACACGCTCCCCCAGGTCTCGGACACCCCCCTGAGCTGCACCGTATATGGAGTGGTCCTGCAGCCAGACGCCTCCCTGCAGCAGCCCCAGCTCACCCAGCAGCACACGGTTCAAGCCCAGCAAGCCTCCTTACAGGCAGGTGGCGATAGAGGACACAAATGTGGTGTCTGTGGCCTGGACCTGTCTCACCTGCCCAACCCTCATGAGCACCAGTGCATGGTGACACAGGACCGTTCGTTCCAGTGCACCCAGTGCATGAAGATCTTCAGCCAGGCCACAGATCTGCTGGAGCACCAGTGCGTTCAGGTGGAGCAGAAGCCTTTTGTGTGTGCAGTTTGTAAGATGGGCTTCTCGCTGCTCACCTCCCTGGCTCAGCATCACAACTCGCACGGAAACAATCCCATGAAGTGCTCCATCTGTGAGAAAACCTACCGGCCGGGCTCTGGAAATGTCACCCCCACCTCATCCTCTGCCAACCCCCAGCAACCCTCTACCGGGGAGACGTCTGGTGGCGGTGCAGCGATCAGTGCCTCGTCTCCTCCTGCGTTTGAAGCCTCTGCACCAGACCGGCCGTACAAGTGCTCTGTGTGTCACAAGTCCTTTCGGCATTTGTCAGAGTTGACGCGCCACGAGAGGATACACACGGGTGAAAAGCCATATAAGTGTGACACGTGCGATAAGAGTTTCAGCCAGTCGTCGCACCTGGCGCACCACCAGCGTACACACAGCTCCGAGCGGCCGTACAAATGTGCTGTTTGTGAGAAGAGCTTCAAGCACCGCTCTCACCTGGTGCGGCACATGTATGCTCATTCAGGCGAGCACCTGTTCAAGTGCAATTTATGTGAGATGCACTTTAAAGAGTCGTCCGAGCTGCTGCACCATCAATGCCAGCCTGAAGGTGAGAGACCTTTCCGCTGTGAATCGTGTGGAAAGAGCTTCAAGCGTCCTTCCGACCTACGGCAACATGAACGCACACACTCTGAGGAGCGGCCGTTTCAGTGTGAAGAGTGCCAGATGAGCTTCAAACAGCAGTATGCCCTGGTTCGCCACCGGCGCACTCATAAAAACCCAGCCGATCGTCCTTTTAAGTGTAACCTTTGTGATAAGGGCTTTCTGCAACCCTCTCATCTACTGTACCACCAGCAGGTTCATGGCATGGAGAGTCTGTTCAAGTGTGCCTCCTGCCAGAAGTCTTTCAGCCAGTCAGGGGAGCTGCTGCGGCACAAATGTGGCGGAGAGGTAGAGAAACCCTACAAGTGTGATGTGTGTGGCAAAGGCTACAAAAAGAATTCGACGCTGCAGCGCCACCAGAGCACCCACTGCACAGAGAAGCCTCTGAAGTGCTCCCTGTGCGACAAGCGCTTCATGTCGTCCTCGGAGTTCGTTCAGCATCGCTGCGACCCAACGAGGGAGAAACCGCTGAAGTGCCCCGACTGCGAGAAACGCTTCAGGTACTCGTCAGAGCTGCAGCGCCACCGCCGAGTCCACACGGGCGAGAAGCCCTTCAAATGTGCCAACTGTGAGAAGAGCTTCAAACAGCGCGAGCACTTGGCCAAGCATCAGAGCGTGCACTCGCGGGAGACGCAGTTCAAGTGCGTGTGGTGCGGCGAGCGCTTCGTTGACCTGGCAGCCCTGCAGGAGCACACGGTGCAGCACACAGCTGAGGGCGAGAACTTCTCTGAAGCTCCCTGCATCCAGTGAGCTGCAAGCATCAAGGACTCGGACACTTACTGGTCTGACTGGGTTCAACTTTTGGAGACCAGTTGGTGTTTAAATGTTGACAGGAAACGGGCAACGTTCAGAGAATCACAGCTTATTGTGTGCACGCCTCAGCTTTATTTAGGCTGTGCACGTTCTTTTACCCGTCTCGGCAGCTGCCCCATGTTGATGCTTCTCTGTAAATTCAGACTGATGTCCTAATAATCCAGATGTTCTACAGCTGCACATGTTGTGTGTGAGGGAGCTGCTGTGCGTCAGAGTAAAGCTCCACTTCCTGATAGGGATGTGCAATTTATCAATACTGTCGTTTAGAGTCTGCTCCAACATCAAACACAATCCTCAGAGTTGATCATGAATAATCTGACATGCTGTTTCCTCAGCTGCTCGTGAGCTGCTGCCTCGTCATCATCATCCTCCGCTCGCTCAGTAGGACAAACATGAGCTGCACTGCTTTATGAGATTTGGAGTTCACAAGTGAACCAGTTTGGTTTTACAAACCGTTCAGTCAGGTCCTCTGGACGGGTTCTTGTTCAAACGCTTCGTCTTTCATCCAAAGGACTTCCTTCAGTCCGAGGAGCCACAACAAACAGCACCTTCACATCGTAGGTCAACCACTCAGTGGTGGTGCTCACATGGTTTCTGGATTATTGACAATGGACTTTTGGCCATGGCTGCCTCAGTCGAGAGGGCGGACTCTAGAAACCGCCTGCGCACCATCAAACTGGTTGACCCTCTATGTGAAGGTGCCGTTTATAAGACTGAGTTTGTAGTGGCTCCTCAGACTGAAGAAGTCCTTTGGATGAAAGACGAAACGTTTGAACAAGACGAACCCGTCCAGAGGACCGGACCTTGTTTATTGTTCTACCAGACTTACTGAGCATGAACCAGGAAGTAAATGTCCACTTCTTTAGTTTTTTACAGCTGGCACGTTTTTATTCTAAATGACCTGGAGAAGGAGTGAAACACTTTACAGAAGAAGGGAATGTTGTTGAACACAAACACTTTGCTGTATTTTTGTTGAAATTTGCCATCGTCATGAAATTTTGGATATTTATCCATTTGGTTGTTGAAATGTTTTTGTCCACCATATGATGAGACACGTTTTAGGTGAAGTCATGTTTTTATGTCATTGAACATGGTATTTAAAACAAAAATAAAAACACGTTTAAAGAGCCCTACAATATATTTAGAATGTGTACAATATTTCAAACGTTATTTGTTTTGTACAGTGACATTTTAATAAATCCGTGGTGTTTTTTAAGGGAAAGCTCACCTTCAAAGCCATTTACCCCCAAAAGAGCAACATGTTTGAACTCCAAAGAAAAAGTTTCAGTAGTTGTACTTCCAGTACTGACTCAAAGTTTCAGTAGTTGTACTTCCAGTACTGACTCAAATAATCCTGATTTTTATATTTCCCAGTTTGAGACACAACACATTAGCTTCAGCGTGCTTTGTCTCTGAGAGTCTGGCAGGAAACTGAGAGCTGCTTCAGAAGTTTCTGAAGCTTTTGGAGATGCCCTCGTAGTCCCAGCAGTCACACTCAGTGACACGGTCAGGTCATCTCCCACTTTATTGGCTCAAAGGCATAGAGGCAGCGGGTTCCTTCTGGTTTTAAGAAAAACATGATGTGTACTGTCCAACATGGCAGGGTGTCCAGTTCTGGCCCTGAGGGCCAGTATCCTGCACGTTTTACCTGTCTGCTTCAACACACCTGGCCAGTGGTTCACTTGCTGCTTCATGTTGTGCAGAAGTTATTGAGTCAGCTCAGGTGTATTTGAGCAGAGGGACATCTAAACCATGGCTGTCCAGTCCTGGAGGACCAGGACTGGACAGCCATGGCTGAGGGGGTGGGACCATGTGATCGCTTCGTAACTGTTGGTTCTGTTGTTGAGGAGGACGCTTGTCCCGCGTGTGTGTCCCAGTGTTGGTTCTGTTGTTGAGGAGGACGCTTGTCCCGCGTGTGTCCCAGTGTTGCCACCACTTTTCTTCTTTATAGTCGGGTCGATTCTTTCCTGATTTTAATGTCCAGTGAAGCTGATGACCCCCTCCCCATGTCCACCCAGCAGCTTTGGACCACAGTATCTCCTCGTCTATTAGCTCTTAGTGGGTCATCTGTTTGTGCATGAACCTGATCATAAATATCTGTTGTATTATAGATTTTGGTTTCTGTAAGGAAGAAGAGACAAAACCCAGTGGATATGTGAAAATGTATAGCCAGTGTGTCGTTGCATCTTTGTATTAAATATGTCATACAAACACTTGACTTGTGCAACACAACATGCACAAAGTAATATTTATGACTACTGATTTATGGAATACTCTCTTATATTATAGACTGTGTATACGCTCTGAAAGTGTAAAGTGCTTATGTTATCCACTTTTTTATTCACTTTCAATCAGCTTGCTGTTTGCAGGCACTTTGATTTCCAGAAGTTTACCCCGACACAACTTGAAGCATTACGTCACTCAGTTGCCACACAACTAGTTGTACTTCTACATTTTATATATATATTTTGTTTTTAAATCAAATTATGCCTTTGATTGTTTTCCCAGGTTTCTAGCGTCCTGGTCCAAACCAGACGTGAATAATCCACTGATGTTAGTTTTACTAGAGGGATGTGTGTACTTTGCTTTACTGTGTTGACTTTTATATCCTGTACAATGTGCAGTATATTTAAAGAAAGTTTAGGGAATGTTGCAGGGTGAGCTGTGATTGGAGGAGGCTGGGTCTGTATGTGTGCGACAGTTTAAATCCTGGTGAGTTCGCTCCTGTTGGGTCTGAAGCTGTGGTTCTAGACTCCTGTTCATACTGTATATTCAAATAAACAAGGCCTACGATAAACACGTGCTTGTCTTTCTGTCTTAGTTGCTGTTTCTGTAAAACCTTAAACTGGTCCTAAGTAGAAGACAGCCATTTTGGGGCTCAAGATAAAAAAAATTCTGAAGGGCCCTCCTCAGGGCTTAATTTGAGCTGGCTCCTGTCTGAGCAAGATCTGGGAATTCTTATTTTGACGGTGCATTTTGGATCTGGCAACTCAAATCTCCGCCCCTATATATCAAAGTCATCACACATTTTTCTTAAAAATCTCAAAACTAATTAAAAGGCACAACTAAATTACAAATCAGCTTGACAGTTCAAGTGGATTATTAATAAAAAAAAGAATTATTAAAAGTACACCGAGATCCCATTCTGGACATTCTTACGAGATTGATTTGTCATTTCTGGCCTTCTTATGCCCCTTTTCCACTGTCACGGCACGGGTCAAATATTTCTGGCTCGCCCCGTGTTTGAGGTCTTTTCCATTAGTACTTCGTACCTGCTCACCTCCCAATATTCTGGCCCGGTTTCTCAAGGGGTCCAAGCGAGCCGAGCTGTGACGTCAGAAACACTGTCGGTCACTGGTCGGTGGGGAGGAATCTTTCCAAACTAAAGTTACAGCTGTAACTACGGTTCTATGAATCCCGGATGACCGCCAGAGTCGGTGCTTAAAGCACTGAATTATCATTCTTGCGCGTGCGCAGTTCGAGCATTTATGCCAACATAGTCACGTGTGATATCCGGGACACCGGTGAGTCTATATAAGCACGTGACAACGGTAGCCCAGTCCCTTAATCTTCTCGCAAAACGCGATGATTCCGAGGGACCGAGCGCTCTGGCGGTCATCCGGGATTCATAGAACCGTAGTTACAGCTGTAACTTTCGTTCTATTTCATCCCTACTGACCGCCAGAGGCGGTGCTTAAAGCACTGGATGACGATTGCCAACAGAGTCCTTAGGAATCACACCCACAAGAAGAAACAAAAGTTAAGTGTGCCCACCTTACTGAGACGGAGATGGGTGCTGTGATAGGATCCCTTCCAACGGGTGAAGGGCAGCCAGGTTTACCCTGTAGAACCTGGCAAAGGTATTTGGGGATGACCAGGAGGCTGCTGCACATATCGCCTCCAGAGTGACCCCATTCATAGCGGCCCATGACACGCTAACGCTCTTGGTAGAATGGCATCGTACCCCTACATGTGGCTGGCGGCCCTGCAGACTGTACACCTGTTCCACCACGTCCACAATCCAGCGCGCAAGGTGCTGCTGAAAGGGCCTGCTGAAAGGGCCTGCCCTTTGCGAGGCCCTACATAGCAAATGAACATACTATCAGACAGCCGCAGAGAAGCTGTCCGTCTGATGTACGCTTCCAGTGCCCGAACAGGGCAGAGAGGCTCGTCAGCACCATCTGCATCAAAGCGTGCAAGCTGGAGAGGCAGAGAGTGGGTCGCAGATGGGGCCACCCACAGGAAGGACCTCCTGTCACAGTTGGGGTGTCAGCTCCTGCACCCCGACCCCAGTTGCCTCTGGCTCTGGGCTTGGCCACTACAGGGTCCGGCATTACCTTCTCAGAGTATGACGGGGAGGTCGCACATACAATGAATAACGCCAGGGCCCCTTCCAAACGACTGTTGTACACACATAAGTGGAAGGTCTTCTGCAACTGGCGTCGTGCCAGACACGAGGACCCTGTACACTATCCTCTTTCTGTCATTCTTACTTTCCTTCAGGCGCTACTTTCTCAGGGCCGGTCTCCATCCACCCTGAAAGTTTATGTTGCTGCCATCTCTTGCTGGCATATGGTGGTGGGTGGGGAGACAGTAGGTCATAACAAGGATGTGTCCTTGTTTCTGAGAGGCGCCAGACGTCTGCATCCCCCCACACGCCTCGTCGTGCCTGTGTGGGATCTCTCTCTGGTCCTTGCTGCCCTGCAGTCTTCTCCGTTTGAGCCCTTGACGGACGTGAGCCTCGAGTGCTTGTCTAAGAAGACGTGTTTCTCCTGGCCATGGCTTTGGCCAAACGAGTAGGTGAACTACAAGCGCTATCTGTTCATGAGCACTGTTGCCGTTGGAACCCGGCTGGTTTGGGTGTTACACTCTGGCCTAACGTAACGTTCCTCCCTAAGGGTAGAGGCATTGGAGAGCTGCAACAGAGCCTGTGCAGCAGTGGAAACCAAGTTCTCCAGGGCCAGAGGGGAGCCACTAGGACTTGATGCCCCTCTTGAAGGACTCTCAGGAGTGTTGGGCCTATCAGGGGAAGCGGCAGAAAAGCATACAGCAGCACCCTGGGCCAGTCGTGTGCCAGTGCATCCTGACCCAGGGGACTGGCATTGCCCGCCAGAGAAAACCAAAGCGGGCAGTGTATCGTTTCTTGAGATACAAACAGGTCCACAGCTACCTTGCCGTACCTCTCCCAAATTACCCTCACCACCTCC